CCTTTGTGTTTTATTTAAACCTCTACAGCACACTTAATGCAACTTTTTAAATCTGCAGGTTTTTAATACATCCCGTGGGAACTTACAGGAGGGGTTTGGTGTATGAGAGACACGGGTATTGCATGAGGAATGGAGAGAGCAGCTTAAGCAAGTTTTACACTTTTTTTTTGTATTTTTACTAGAACCTGCAAACATATCAACTGTCATGTACTTTCTCTCATATTCAGCACTTTATTTTCTAGCCTTACCTTCATGTACTATTGTTTTAATTAAGTTCTCAAATAATTTGTAAAACATGTAGCTTTTTCTCTTTATGTACTTGTCAAACCTCTTGTCATTTTGCAGAGTCACGTACATATGTTGCCTGGACATTTTATGCCACCTAAAGATCAGTGGTGCTGCATTCTGGCCAGTAAATTTCTTATTTTGGCTACTTCATCAAAATCTGGGCAGTTTCTGTATATATAGAAGGTAGAAATGGAAAATGAGAAAAAAATATTTGAAAGGGAATATATTGATTAATTACTAAATATTTTATTCACAAAGGGTCAATAACTTGGCAAGATAAAATTATTATTTGTATAGTTTTGTCTGAATGAACGAGAAGAGTGTGGATGTATTGTTTGTACATATTGTATATATTAAAGAGATATGTGCATGAACTCAAGAAAAAGAAATGAACAAAGCAAAGCATTAGTGGCTATGGTCTGTAAAATGAAACAAAAACTTTATTTCACTATAAGAAACTTTATTTTAAATGTTCTTTAGAAGAACATTTTTGCTAAAGCATGACTAAATGGCAAAAAAGAGCTACTGTATTTAGACTTAGGAAAAAAAAGGCAGAGCAACATTACTTTAAAAAAAAAAAAAAAGAAAAAAAGGATATGTTTACATTTGATTTTGGCTACCAGGAGTTTGATTCAGTTGGGTTTAATTTATGTATTCCTTCCTTCTTTTTTTTTACCCCCGTCTTTTTTTTCTTTTTTCTTTTTTTTTTTTTTGCCAATGGTGCCAAGTAATGTGAATGCTAATATTGCTTAAGAAAATTAAGTTACTTTTGCAAAGCAGATAATCATAAGAGTACAAAAACCGTATCTAGCTTAACACCATACACTCACTCCAATAAAGAACACTTAGAATGAACATAAAATGAAAAAAAATAAATAAATAGTACGAAAGTAGAAAATATGTTTCACATTTTCATATCTCCTGCTGGAAGTCAGAAAATGTAATAAAAATTGCACAAAAAATTTTAAAAAATTAAGTAAAACTTAAAAAAAAAAAAAGATGCAAACTGATCCTGTAGGGGTGTCATGGTATATTGCTATTTCCACATAGTGAGGAGCCAAAGAAATTAGATTTTTTTAAAATTGAGCTACTAATTTAAAACTGTCACAGATTCTCAACAATGGGAACCAGTTCTGATCTTCATTACACAGGAATGTAAGGGAAGAAACTCCTGAAGTCCGTGTCATTACTTGTGGGTCACGTACATGTGTCTGAGATCAGAAACTGCTCCTGTCTGTTTGTCTCGCTCGTGGCAGTTTAAAATTTCTGAATGAACTTGTGTAAATTTGAGATTGTTAGTTTTGGAATAGTTGTTCTTGCTTGATCCCGGCCACCAACTGCAATGTTTAAACGCAAGGCTTGTTGTGAAGCCAAAAAATATTCACACATAGGAAGCTTTGAAACTGGTGTCTTTAAAAGAAGAGTAAAAACAAAGATTGTGGCAAAAAAACTGGGGTCAGTGCTCTTGGTGCCTTTTCTATAATTGTACCTGTTTTTAATTACTTCTTTTCACTGCCAGCATTGAATTACAGTAGATGTGCTATAGCTCATTATCAGAATTCTCTTGTACATTTCTGAACTGCTGCTTTATGACCTGATTCAATTTTAAAAAAAAGGGAAAAAAAGCAAAACAAATGGCCTGGCGCTCGCACTGTGCCTGTGGGCAGCCTTGTAGCCTGATTTACTCTCTGCAATTGGAACCTTGACCATTAAATTTTCCTCCCACGCCAAAACAGAACAGGAGACGCTGAAGAATCTCCTTTGGAATGAATTGGAAATGCTCTGTATTAGTACTGGAAGAACTCTTGACATTTTGAAACTGAAATGTTGCACCCATTAACCAATACGTGACAATATAGAATTGATCTGTTCCTAACAAGAGTAGTGACCTCAGTGGAAACGTTTTAACTCCTTGTCTTTACAGAAAACCATTCAGTAATATACAGAGCTATTTCAAATTACTCTTCCAGATCCATGGGCCTGGTGGTGTATCTACTAATCCAGATCCTGCTTCAGCCAAACGTTTAAGGCTGTGCTGGCTGTGAGGCGTGCAGCAGTTCTGCAGCCCAGCTGCAGGACTCCTGCACGCCTGCAGCCAGGGCAGCTCCCAAGTGCTTTGTTGTGTCGGGCCGTAACCCTTCAGTGTGTCACTGGGCAGGGAGCAGCACTCCCCCGCAGTGAAGTGATCCTTAGAACCCTCTTCTTGGTTGTGGAACTTAACATTTTCACCTAAGATGTAAGTAAGTGCAGCTTTCTAGGAAAATTCAAATTTCCCAAGTGCCAGGAGCCAGATCTTCTGTCTTCTGAGAATAGAATCGCTCCTTTGTGAAACACATTCGACAGCAGTAATACTGTGTGAAAGAAATACAGAATATAACATGAACCCCCTCTCTGGTTGCACGCTTATGGCAGTTCCACACAATAGCTGGTGCCCAATGGGGGGTCCCCAAGACTTGCATGTAAAACTAGTATAGATGTCTTCTCTTTTGTAAGTTTTATTTTTGTAACTGTGCATGTAAAGCATCACTGAATCAATGGATCTGTTGAAGAACTCAGCTGCTGGAACCATGCAAAATGTTTTGAATTGCCCTTAAAATATGGAAAATGTTTTCTGAATGCTTTATATTCTTTCTGCTGTAAATTAAAAAAGAAAATTTCCCCATACAAAGTGTGTGCCTTCTTCTGAACACATCTCTCCTTCTGAACACTTCTCTTCCATCCTACTTTGAGAGCAAAGTAGTCCTTTAATTACTCTAAGAAACCACAAAAAAAGAAGAAGTTTCTACACAGCCTGCTGGTAAGAATATTGCATCTGATTTCTTAGGGGTTACGATGTGACAGTCCACAGCCTGCCCGAGCAGGTGCAGCCCCCAGAGCTTTGTTTGCAGTTCCCCTTCAGTGGGCAATCACTGCCAGGGTTTTTGGTGAGAAACCATATAGAGCTGGAATCAAAATGTTTAATCCTACCGTGTACACAAGGCAGAGTCAAACGGCAGAGTTCAAGAGGGCTGCTGATGCAGAAACCTCAGGGGTCACATTTGATGATAAATTAACGGAGACACAGTAACTGTTGCACTAATCAAATATGTCACTTACATGAACTGGTCCTCGAGAACAAATCTTGTACCAGGCTACACGGCCAGCCCAGCAGGCAAAACCTGAAAGCAAGGTTTAATAATTAATAAATTAATCTGGTCTATCAGAGACCGTGTTAGTGCCATTATGAGTAAGCTCTTCCAAAACCCAGCTCCACAACTGAAGACAAGATTTCAATAAGAGAGTTTCTTCTTGACTGCAGAGGAAGTTTAATTATGTTTCTGTTTTAGAATAAATCAGCATTTAACTCTCCAAATTGCTCCCATTTTCCATCTCACATGGCTGTTAGTTGCTGGGTTGTTTCCCATCGTGGCAGGCTGACCCAGTGCTGAAGGAAGGCACCTCCTCTGCTCCCTCATCCCGGGCCGTGGCGGGAGAGAACTGCAACCCCAAACACGAGGGGGAAAATGCCGGGGGCGAGATAAAGTTTAATAAGGGGCAAAAACAAAAGATCACTCAGAACACGCGGTGCAAAGGCCGCCGGGGCCGGTGATCCCTGGCGGAGCCGCCCCGGGGCTCCTGCGGGAGCGCTGCCGGCAGCACCGAGCTCCGGGCACCGACAGCACCGACAGCGAGAGCGGGGATCCCCGGGCACCCCGGGGGCCAGGGCGGGGAACAAGGACAAGGACAAGGACAAGGACAAGGGCAAGGACAAGGGCAATGACAAGGACAATGACAAGGACAAGGACAAGGATAAGGACAATGACAAGGACAAGGATAAAGACAAAGACAAGGACAAGGATAAAGACAAGGACAAGGGCAATGCCAAGGACAAGGACTATGATAAGGACAAGGATAAGGACAATGAAAGACAAGGATAAGGACAAGGACAAGCACGCCCCCGGCCCCCCTCGTGCGCTGCACGGAGCGCACGGACACGCGTGACAGCGCCACGGAATGCCCGTGGCTGTGTGTGCGAGACTGCCCACGTCTGTCTGTCCGTGTGTGTGTGGGTGTCCGTGTGTCAGTGTGTCCGTGTATCCGTGTGCCCGTGTGTCCGTGTGCCCGTGTGTCCGTGCGTCCGTGCCCGTGTCAGCGTGTCTGTCTGTCCGTATGTCCGTGTCCGTGTGCCCGTGTGTCCCCATGTCCGTGTATCAGTGTGCCCGTGTGTCCGTGTGTCCCCGTGTGTCCGTGTCCCGTGTGTCCCTGTGTCCGTGTGTCCGTGCCCTGCCGCTCTCTCCGTTCCGTGGTTCCCGTTCCCGTTCCCGTTCCCGGGCGGGGCCGCGCCCCCCAGCGGCCATGGCCTGGCCCGAGCGGGGCCCGCCCTGCCGGGCACCGGGCGTTGCTCTGCCGGGAGCTCGCAGGAAGCGCTGTCATTTCCGAGCCGCTCACCTGGCGCTGGAGCGGCACCGAGGGGCGGCGGCAGCGCCCAGACTGACCCCGAGCTGCGCGGGGCCCGCGCTGAGCCTTGCCCTGCCTCCCGCCGTGCGCCTGTGCTCCTTACGTGCGAGTTAGAATGCAGTGTGGAAATGTGGAAATACAGGAAACAGGCGGACTTGGCTGTTTGGAGTGCCAGGATGCAACAAACAAGCATCTGATGTGAAAGAAACAAGGACATGGAAGAGGAAATTGAGTGCTGATAGTTCTGGGGATACACATTAAAAACCTGGCTGGGTGGCGGAAAGGTAGTGAGGAGTATGTACAGAAACTGTTGTATCCATTATAAAGATGCAGAGTAGCTGATAAAAACAACTCTGTTACAAATTTAAAGCTGACCAAAGATAAATTTTGTATTTTACAAATACTTTTTCCTTCTGGCGCTTTTTCTTGCTCCCTATCAACTGTTTCAGAAGAATAGAGAAGCATCACTGGAAAAATCACATAGTTATAATAATACTAAGTTTTTTTATTTATTTTTTATAAACTACTGAGCCTAAACTGCTCACTCTCTGAGGCCTCTGGAGCATTGTTGGAGCTGTCCCCTGCCTCATTGCCAGGTGTGGTGTTAGCAAGCCACTGCTGCCTCTGAGCACAGCAGCAATTTGTTGACAAGATCTTCGGGACACTGCATGAGTTGCACCCACTGTCAGCTGTTAAAACACAATTTATCCAGTAGGAAACTGCCCTGTGTTTATTAAAAGGACACACATTCCCAGTTTTCAGGACTGTGATGATGCCTTTCTTTCCTGCAGGTCGGCCAATGTCCCTGGAAGCTCAAACATGGCTGCTGGCAGCAACCGCCGGCTTCAGCAAACTCAGCACCAAGTAGATGAGGTAAAAGCCTGGTCTGGTAGTAGTGTCAGCCTCTTCTTGCAGGAAACCTGTGCAATTAGAAGGGATATTTTTTTCCAAAGCAGTTTTCCCTTCATTCTATGAAGGGGAAGCAGAGGTTGCCAGTATCTAAACATGAGCTGCAGTCTTGGTGCTTGAGGAGTTGGCATAAGTAAAGACAAAAACCTTTGTTTACAGAGAATAAGCTTTTTTCTCATCAGTAGCCGTGAAGCTGGCTACCAAATGTGATTTTTGTGGAATCCAGAAGCCAGGCTGGCTGGCAAGTATTTCTTGGCATGGTTTACTGTCATGTTTATATTCCTCAACTTCAAGCAAGGAATTATTTCCCAGGTTTGAAGGCATGCCAGCACTACTGACTTTTTAAAGTAGCCATTCAGGGCTTCTAGCCACAGGTGGATCTTGTAGTTTTCTTTGAGCTGATGGCTGCATGTACTAGAAGGCAATAGCTCCTGCTTCTGAGAGAACATGAGTGCCTTGTGGAGCTGTGTGCTGTCTGGTCGTGTTGCACTGTGTGGTCACTTACTGCGAGCCCTGAATGCTGCAGGTCGTTGACATCATGCGGGTGAACGTGGACAAGGTGCTGGAGCGGGATCAGAAGCTGTCGGAGCTGGATGACCGAGCTGACGCCCTGCAAGCTGGGGCCTCCCAGTTCGAGACCAGCGCGGCCAAGCTCAAGAGGAAGTACTGGTGGAAGAACTGCAAGGTAACCTCGGCTGCTGTGCTTCACTGTGCCTGGAACCCTGTCACTGTTCTGTCTCAGAAGGCACAAAGCGTTTAGCCAGTGGTTTTTGAGTCACAGCAGCTGGTTTTTAAAGCATGGCATCGCTTTTTGAAGTAACAAGCAGCTGTGTTACTGGCCGTGCTGCCCGAGGCAGGATCTTGTCTGGGAATGGCCAGAGGGGAAGCATGGCAGTAATCTGAGGCTTTGAGAAACCAGAGGAAAAGGCTAAAAATGCATAGCTTGAATTAATGTGTGGGAAGTATTAGAAAGTGGAAGAAGCTCACCCAGACTCCTGTACTTGTAGCTGTTGCCAAAGGTTGGAATCATCTTTGGTGAGTAACAGAACAGCTTGTGCATTCACTGGGGACAGGCTTTGTGTGGAGAGAACCACATTGCTGTGTTTGCCTGTGTGCATGGCCTGCCATCTCCGAGTGCTGGTAGTGCTTGGGTTGAGCTTGCTGACTGAAGAACCTTTGCTTGCCACGTTGGATCTGACAAGCAGAGCTGAAAGTCCCCTGCAGGGGCTGTTCTCCTGTGCCCTGAGGGGCACTTGGTGCTGTTGCATGGTGTGGAGTAAGTGTTGTATGTCTTTTTTGTTTTTTCACAGATGTGGGCAATATTGATAGGTGTTGTTGTCATTATCATCATCATCATTATTGGTAAGTTGGACCAGAACGGGGATTTCTGCTGGATTTGGAATGTACAGTGTTAATTTGCTGACTGGTACAGTTTGAGCAAAGGCAGGGTACTCAGATGGGAGTATATCCAACAGGAATTTGAAATAGCAGGGATGGATTTAACAGCAATTGCATGCAGTGAGTGGCAGACTGTGGGAGCTCCAGTACTGGAATCTCAACCACGAGTGAGGGTGGCAAAGGTGAAAGTGAAAATAGCAAGGGCTTGGAAAGCAGGAGCAGACCTGGGTTTGTTTACAGCTGCCTGCTGCGGAAGTGTAACCTGAGATTCCACACACTGTCCTTGTCTGAGAGCTCTTATCGTCTGCCCTGGCTTCCTGCTTTTCTGTGGCAGTTACGGGTGCACTGCCCGGCCAGGGAGGCTTTGGGTAGAGGTTTGGCTGCTGGGTGAAATGAGACTAATGCTGGGTTAGAATAGAGCCAGGTATGGAGTGGTTCAGTCTGTGAGCCCTCAGGTAACTGCCGAGGGTTTAAGGGGAAGACAGTTTTTAAGTTTGTGTTGTAACAGTAACAAACAGAGCAGTAACCATTGACATCTGAGACACACTCCTGGTGTGCAGGCACAAGGGAAAAATACAACTGAAAAAAACAACATAGGCAAATGCTTAGATTTAAAGGATTTAAGAGGGGTTTATCTCTAAGATCTCAAATTCTTAAAAGGCAGGATTGTTATAGTGAGGGGCTGAAAGATATCCAACCTTTTTCTTCTTTTTATAGTCTGGAGTGCGTATTCATGAACTACAAGAAGAAACTCAGTTCAACCGAAGGTGCCTTTGAGAATCCTCTTCAGCCTCTCCACTCCAAACCTGCTGCCTTCTCAGCCCGTTTACTGCTGTTTGAAGCACACCTCTTTTGATTACCGAGACGTTGACTAACTTTACCGGTGGCCTTAAGACACTCCTGTCGTTAATTACTAACCAGCACAGCTCTCCGCCCTCACGGTGCCGCCATGGCGGGCCCGGGCCCCGCCCCTCGCCCGACCACGCCCAGGGGCGTGGCCGGCGCCGCACGTGGCGGCGGGGCATGCGCGCGCACGGGGGCC